AGGGAGACCTCATTGCTCTCTACAACTACCTTAAAGGAGGTGGATGTTGGCCTCTTCTCCCAAGGTACTAGCAGTAGGAAGAGAGGAAATGCACTCAAGTTCCACCGAGGGAGGTTTAGATTGGATATTAGGAGAAATTTCTTTACTGAAAGAGTGGTGAAGTGCTTGAACAGGCTGCCTGGGGAAGTGGTGTAATCACCATCCCTGGAGGTGTTCAGTAAATGTGACACTTCAGGATGTAGTTTAGTAATCATGGTATTATTGGATTCACAGTTGGACTTGATGGTCTTAGAGGCCTTTTCCAACCTTAATGTTTCTATGATTCCTTTGCTCTTTTGGTGCCCAAAAAGGACTGCCCCATGCAATTTGCCATATTCCCTCTCCAAGAAAAAAAATTTTTTTTAAGCATCAGAGCACCTTTTTTCATGCTCCCTCAGCTAACCCCAAGATCTGCTATCCGCCCCATTGGGCTGGAAGGGGTTTACCGGCATGAGTGGGAGCCGCAGCCTGGCTGAAGCCCAGCTGGTTTTCCCTGGTACTGGAACAGCTGGTGCAAGAGCCATCGGGAACTGTTTTGTCCAGGCAGGGTGCAGGCAGGGTGCAAAGCCTGCCTGAACCACTGGAGCTGCTGTGGGGCAAGGGCCAGGCTCCTCTGTGGTGCTGGCACCTGAGGCACATGCTGGGCTGCAGCAAGACACCGCTGCTCACCTCTCTTTCCCCCTCAGTGGTTTCCTGGCAGTGAGATTGATCTTTTTTTTAAAATTCGTTTCATCCTTTTAATTTTTTTTTTCATCAGAAAGGGGGAAAATTTTTCTTCACCCTTCACTATTCTCTATCTTGCAGCAGAGCAAGCTTTCCATCAGCGTACTGCAGGAGAGCTCTCGCCTTGCCCTCCCCTGTGGTTTCTGCTTCTCACTTCGCGGCTCTGCGAGCTCCCCAGTGCTTCCTGGCCGCACACGGCCTCATCCTGCACCCCAAGCTGCCTGGAAAGGCTCCGGTGTCGCAGTCAGTCCCCCACCTGCTGGGGACCAGGGTGGAAGACTGCTAGGGCATGTGTTTCTGAAGGAACCTGAGCATCTGAAAATGTTGCGGTGTAGTGTGCATCCAGCCACCGCTGGTTTCTAGTGGACGTGGCAGCCTCCCCACCATGGCTACCAGCTTACATGCTCCGTTTTGAGCGTGTGTTGGAAAGTCTGAGCAATTCATGCTACGATTTTTATCAGAGCCCTCTGCTGCTGCGTGGGGCGGGGAGGATGAGGCAGTTTTTCCTGCCGATCCTTGGCGCAGTGAGTTGTGATCTCGACAGTGATACCTGTCACATCTTCCACCTGTAGAAACCAAAACATATTGCAAGTGCCAAACAAGCCTTTGCACACCTGGTTCAGATGCCTGGTGTCACCCTTTGGGGACACAAAGCCTCGAGATGAGAAAGCCTCCTTGCTGTGAGCTTTCGTGTTTTTTGGAACGCTATTTAGTTTAGTTTTGTTTGGTTTTTTTTTAATGAGAATGCAGGAAATTATGAAGAAAAAGGTGATGTCCACCTCAAAGTCCATCTGCACCATTACACATGGTGGAGAGCACTCTCATTGCCACCTGGCCAGATGGCGTGATGGCTTCCAGCAGGGTGGCATGGAAGGGTGACAGGCTGGAGACAGCCTCCCAGGCTTGCCCTGAAGCCTAAGCAGGCCCATCCTGGCTCAGAATCCCTTCCTTGACCAACCCAAATTAGGGGTGTCTCCCCCAGCCCACTTGTGTACCTGGGCTGTGTCTGAAAGCAAGAGGTGAGCAAGCTCCAGCCCTTCAGCTCATTTCTGAAAGCCCGGAAAATAATGAAGTCATCACGAGAATCATATCCTTCACCCTGATTATTAATTTTCCCCTGATACTTTCCAACATTGTGGGGCACCAAGGCTGTTTTGGAGAGAAGCAGAGGAGACAGCCACGGCTTGCCTTCACCACTGGTTGTTTCCTACGTGAGTATTAGTCAGCGATGCGAGTGGGGAACATCACCAGCAGAGAAATTAAAGGAAACTGCTGCAAAGGTCACCCCAATAACAGCAGCCAGGCCCTGGGCACCTGCCCCTGTTTCTCTTTCTGTGGAGAAACACACCTAAGGAGGAAAAACGTCTCCTCCCCTGCATCTCTTCCCTCTCCTCCTCTGTCTTCTTCTTCTCTATCTCTCCCTTGTTCTCCTTCTCCTTCTCCTTCTCCTTCTCCTTCTCCTTCTCCTTCTCCTTCTTCTTCTCCTTCTCCTTCTCCTTCTCCTTCTCCTTCTCCTTCTCCTTCTCCTTCTCCTTCTCTCTTCTTCTTCTTCTTCTTCTTCTTCTTCTTCTTCTTCTTCTTCTTCTTCTTCTTCTTCCTCTTCTTCTCCCTCTCCTTCTCCCTCTCCTCCTCCTCCTCCTCCTCCTCCTCCTCCTCCTCCTCCTTCCTTTCCTATCCCTTCCTGGTGGGAGCAGCCTGCCAGTAGGTGCCCCTTGGCTGCTCAATCTCTGCCTGGCTGCCTACTGCCACATGTCCCCCAGCACCCCACCGCCATGGGTGCCTGGTGGGATCACCCATGGGTGCCTGGGAACCCAAGACAGCTCTTTTACTTATGAGCCAGGCTTGGAGCTGAGGATATGTCCCTTGTCATCCATGCCTTCTCCATCCTTGGGAACTTTTCCCCAACAGGGAGCAGGTTTAGCAGTGCCCATCCCTGCTGCTCGGAAGCTGGGTGCCCTGATGGGAGCACACGGGGAGGGGGAAGGGGCCATGTCCCGCTCAGCTGATCCCTGCCTCTGTTCAGAGGAAGCTGGGGGTGGGAGGCAGCCCGGGTTTCCCTCTGGGGCGGAGATGGGTACGTTTCATTTCCACCCCAGCCTTTGCTGCGCACAC